TATAGAGTCGTTCAGGTTCTAAACTTATACTTATCGTAAAACATTTAGGTCACTTATTTATACGAGTTTAAATATCATTTTCACCCCTTTTGATCAAAAATATATCTTCACATAAAAGACTTAACACTAATACATACATACGTACATGTATATGTTTAGAGGTATTGGTGAACCGAATCAAATCGAATCGAGTCAAGCCGAACCAAGTTATGGGAATTTGAAGGCTTAACTCGAGTTTGAATAAAATTTTGATAGATGGCATCCGTTTTACAGTTTAAAGTCCATACTTGTTTAACAATTAATTAATTTATGAGGTCAAATGAACTTGTATTTTAGAGTTTATTAATTATACTTGATTTTGTAAAATTCATTCTTTGATTTTATAGGGGCCGTTTGCTAAACGCTTATTTGGTAAGTGCTTACAGGATAAATTTCCTCATCGGATGAACATGACAAGGGTCAAGAATCTTACCGGTAAGAGCGATGAGAATGATGGAGAGTCTTTACCCGGTAAGTGAAGATGACGACTCTTACCCAAGTAAGCGCTTACCCGGTAAATTGTTGCATTCAATATGTTTTGATGTACTAAAATCTTAAGGATCAAAATAGATTATAATGTTGACTCATATCGGTAAGCACTTACCGGGTAAGCAATTGAGTAAACAATCTCTTGATTTATTTTCTTTTGAATATTATTTTGTCTTAAATTATTAGTTTCTTAGAGCTTTTTCAACAAATAATGCTGAAATAATTTTTTTTTAAAGATTTATGATTTTTTTTTTGCTTTAATACAACGTTAAATGATATGTTAAAATAGAGAAAAGAAAAGAGATTAAGTGGAACTCCTTAAAACTCTATAGATAACGAAGAAATAATATTACAAGTCTTTTCCACCAATAAAAGATATTGCAATTAAATTTGTAGAACATAGAAATAATATTTAATTAAATGTATTAAATCTATACTATATTATAAAGTATTTGACAAAAACTATTAAATTTTTTTTTTATGTATGAAGTACTGTATATTGATATATATTACTTAAAAATCAAGATCACAAATAAATTATGCTAAGTACAACTTATTAGAACTCCATGTTTGAATTCGTGTAATTAACTGTGGGTAAACATAATCAAATAAATGATAAACATATCATTTTAAATATAAAAAATCTAAAATATAATTAAGATAATCATTGAGTTATTAGATAATATAAAAAATTATATATTATTAAATCAAAAATAAATTACTCTGTTATTAGATCTAAATTAAATTATAAAAAAAAAATTGAATTAAAGAAATTACACGAAAAACAAGAACTTTTAAATAGTTAATCTATACCATCTTATAAAACATTTGGTTAAAACTTTTAAAAACTCTAAAAACTCTTAAAAACTCTTAAACCGGTTCATCCCTAAACGATTTCATCCCTATCCGATTTCATCCCATATCTGAATTCATATAACTA